GGACAGAGTTGGGTACAAACAGTATACCAGAAAAGTGGTAAAAACCTGGAGTGAATTTAACGTTATTATTACCTATCTATATTTTCCTCCAACATCAAGATTAACAGAATAAATCGACGAAGGAAAACTTACATTATCTTATACAGGGTATTTTTGCCAACATTGCAATATTTATTATGTTATATCTCTTTTTTTTAAGCCGCAATACCATGTATATTATTTTTCTTTGCTTAAGCAGGAGGATTTTATTTTCTTTGCCTAAACAAGTTTTTTATTAGTAATAAAAATAAAAGTAAAATGCTTCATTATAAGTAATAAAAAAAATATCTTTAATTAAACTAAATTATGTCTGACTCATCAAGAAATACATAAATCCATACACACACACATGTATATGTAATACGGGACTCAAAACTTTTATTATTTTTATTATATTTAAGGCCCCAGCAAGCCCGAACAGATGTCGAATTTTTATTATATCGATCTGACGTAGGATAAGAACGCCGAGGGTGAAGAGAAGTGTGGACAGGGGCGTGCGGGGGGGGGGGGGAGGTGATTATTTTAAGTAAGGGGTGGTCGGTTGGAAGTGCATATATACAGAAAGAATAAAACCGTGCGGGTATATTTTGTTCTGACGAGTGATTTAGTTGATTGGGCGACAGATTGTCGAGAGATTTTTGTCGGTTACGTGTTTCTTTTGTTGGGTATCGAGTGAGAGAATATTAAAAAAATTAGTCGTAAAATTTTTCTATATTTTATTAAGAACACGAACTTTTTTATTATTGACATTTTAAGAAAAATGCATTCTCAAAAAAAAACACCAAATTTTAAACCAAAATTAAAAAAAAAATCACAATTATCTCTCTCAATATCAAACCAGAGCGAATAACATCCCCGAACGGTAAATAAATAATTTCTGGGAGGAAAAATCGGAAAATTTATGAAAAAGGAAGAGCGCACTGAGGACGGGCGTCGAACAACGTGTTCGAGACGTCGGAACATTCGTGAAAATTTTAAAACATCTCCGTGAATAATGGACGAGGCAGATATCGGGCTTTTTAAGGAGGAGGACGTTTGAGGGGGTGTGAGGAGGGGGACGCGAAGAAGGCGAGAAACGATGATCGTGTGATATTAATAATGCAGTTTTTAATAACTGAGCCAGGGTGATAGAGCAGAAGGCGTAGAAGAGTACCGTGTATATCGATCGATATGTCAAATATAATGCATATTAATATCTAATTACCTTGTAGGTCCACACTGAAAAAAATATTTACGTAATTTTACAAAAAAAAAATATTGATACATTATAGTATTTTTAATAAAAAAAACTTGTAAAAATAAGACATTTTTATACAGTTTCACAAAAAAATGTAATTTTGCAAAACAGTTTATCAATATTAAATGATTATTACAAAACGATATTATTTTCACAATGTATTTTGTGAATTTAAAAATTAAATTTAAATCAAAAACACAATCTTGTAGTAAAATTTCATGTGTCTAGACATATTCACAAAACTTGTGTAAATTTACCATAAAAATACGACGTCACGTGACTTCTTTTGAAGCTCATGCGCATTAAATAATCGATTGACAACGTAGTTAGGAGGAAAGGCGAAGAACATTTCAGGAGAAAGTCTCAGAGCGTGGGTGATTAGTGTTCTTATAATATAAGGGTAAATATATTATATAAATTATGTTTATATGTAGTTTCTGTAAATATAAAACCAGTGCTCTTAGAAAACACAATCTCCATTTATTATAATTATTTACATTTTAATTTTAGCGATTTTTTTTATGTAAACATAATTGCTCCACGATCTCTCCATAGTCTCTAAGCTGGTAAGTTGACTGTTTTGATTAGATACCTTTTTCTTCCATGTTTTTTTTTTCTTTTGTATCAAATGGCAATTCTGTTCCTATTTTGGTTAGACGCAGAATTCCAGTAAGGTTCTTCTAGACAAGAAGAGATGGCATTGAGTATCTTACATACATATAAGTTCTGTTTTGTGACTTTTTGGTAACCTTTGTAATATATATTATAATTATAAACACGTGTTTAATTGAATTTATTAATATTTACTAACGCTTTGTGAATTTACAAAAGTAATTGTAAATTCACTATAATAAAATGTTTAATTTTGTTGTTACTCTATAATAATAGTACAAGAAGTTGGCGATTTTAAAAAATAAATTTACGATAAATAAGTTAATTTTCTATGAGATTTGGTTTGGCAAAAAAACTGTAGAGAGAGCAGAAGCAAAACAAATGGGAAAAGAAGACTAATAAAAAAAATAAAAATTATTTTAAATGAAAAAAATGCCAAACAAATATAAAAGAAAATTTCCCGATAGTACCCATGATACCAATTTTTTTCCAACGTTATTCGTACCTACTTTTCGCCTGATGGTATTGCACAAACAAGCTATACACCGTACAATTACCCATGGGACACATAGAGGTTTTCTGAACGTAATTATACGTATTTTTCATTGTACATGAGCAGACTTTCATTAGATGGTGGTACCGTGCAAGCACGCATGGTACCACAGCTTAATTCGATATCTTTACGCATTTATTATATACTATAGGATGTTATTTTGCTCTAGGTCTCGTTTATTAATTAAACAAAGAAAATAATGTATAACTGGATTTTGGTATATTATTAAAATATGATAGAGGATGCATACAATAAAATGCACACTGAAAAAACAAAACATTTGATATAAATAAAAAATAATAATCCTGGCAGTAGGTATTTTTCTTCCAAAATGTAATGTAATAGTTTTTTTAATAATCATTTCAAAAAGAAATGCCACCATTTTTTACCAAAACGTTCCAAGATAGACAGGTCGGCGAGTGACATCAAAAAACTGTACTAAAACACAGAAAATATGGCATTTAAAATAGAAATATGTCATTCTTTATTGGTTGTCTTGAGGTATACAAGGCGCCATATGGCAGACACGTGTTCTAGGAGTAAACAAAGTAGGTATACGCATGCATGCTTCTCTAATTCAAAGCATCTCTTTTTTGTGAATCTTTAAAGCAACAAGACTCTTTTTCTAAGATCTAAGAGTTCTTAAACAACATTTTAACTTGTTTGAACAATATCCATTAAAAATACAATATAAAAAGTGCATTTAACCAACTTTTGCGTCATTTTTTTTTGTTCTAATAAAGTAGCTAAAAATTTTACTTCCCCAAAAATAGTTTCAATAATAATTAATAAAATATATACACTTTTACAGTAACACAACAATAAATAAGCAAGAAATAATAAAAATTCTTAATAAAGATTGATTAAATTCAATTTTCATGTTCAAAAAGAGTAATTTTAAAATATTTCGTTTGTTATCTTAATGATTCATTTGTACAAAACAAATTTATCAGTAATTATTAATAATTTCTGTAGTTTTGCTTAGAAAGTTTAACACAATAAAGGTGAAAAACGATTAAAAAATATATGGAAAACAATAAACGTTTTAGAAACGATTAAAAAATTATATGAGTCAGATGTAAAAACATGTTTTTTTAAAATTAGTACTTTTGTTCTAAAATTATTTATCTTAAATATTTCAAAATTTTATTTTCAATTAAATTAAAAAAGACTTAAATTAAATTATAAGAATATTATTATTCTATAGTTGCTGAAAATAATTTAAATGATAATACATGTATTTTTCTATTAAATTTTGCAATTAGTTATATTTTTTTTCTGGAAATACGTTTTTGTTCAAATATACATTTTGAAAATGGACATGAAAAAAATGAAATAATACGTACTATAAATTATAGAAATTTTGTTACTATAAAAACAAGTAATATTAACTTTATTGGTGATAATATAAATATTTGAATGAAAATAGTAGAAAAACATTATTGGTCTAACTTGTCAATATACCACCTATAAATATAAGTATATTGTCTTGGTAATATATGATATATGAATATTGATACTTTTGAATGCTGTAATAAACTTTTCATAAACTTTAAATTATAGACCAATAAGTCTTACTCTCTATTTTTTTCTTTACAATATTATGGTTAACATACAAAAATTATGGAAAAAAGAAGGTACCACCATAAGAAATATAAAATGAACATTATTGCAGTCATTTAATTATCATAGCCATATTATTATTATTATTAGAATATTTCTCATCAACATTTGATGCTTTTTTAATGATAACAATTTAATCTATACTGTGCTTAGTAGGTATTCTGATGAGAATTTTAAAATAATTATAAAATTCATTGGTACAATCGTTAAGATCATCATTACCATCAGAATTTAGATTGGTTTAATCAACATTTGATACATTTCTCACTCTAATTCTATCATGACAATTGAATATGTCAATTCAACATCATGATGACGCAAATAAAAATTATTTAACGGAATCAGCATTAGCCTAACCTTTTAAATAAAACTCATCGCATTTTAAAATGATTCAATAAATTTTTCGTGATTTTTTGCTGCTTGTTACTTTCTGACAATTGAATTGATACATAAGATATAGCATTTGAAAATGGTTTAGCACATCCTGGCCATCAAGTTTATCAAGTAGATAACCTGATGACATGTTGAAATCAGTTAAAACAAGAGTCATCTATATTAACCAACTTTTGATGGATTTTTGAAGCTAGTTACTTCCTAACCATCAAATTTGATGCTTGATACGTTCTGGTTGTTGAATTGATACCAGCTTATGAGATAAAAGAAGAGTCACGGCATTTTAGAATGGTTAAATCAAGTTTTGATGGATTTCTGGCCATTAGTAACATCCTGACCAGAAAATTTAACATCCAAATAACTTCATGACATGATTAAAATAATTTAAAACAAGAATCATGCAATTTTACGAATTTGATGGATTTCTGACACTAGCTAACATCCAGGCCATCAAATTCTTCAACCAACCGTCCCGATGACGCAAATAAAAATCCTCCAAAGGAATTACTACAAGCAAATAAGTTAAAACAAGACGAGACTCACCCTTTCCTCCTCTCGAATCATCTCCGCGATGCCCGGCTTGATTTCCATGTCGTCCGTCGACCCGGTGTGCGTCACCTGCACCTGCGGCGGCATGGCCAGCGGCAACGGCAGATTCTCCGGCGGCTGGGGCATTCCCCCAGATCCCTGGGGAGTTTGAGGTGGTGCCGGAGACATCTCCACCGAAGGTGGTGGTTCCGGCACCTCCGTACCCGCACTCTCCGCCGGACTACACAGGGTACTCCTCTCCCCCGACCTACGTCGCTTTTTTGTCGGTCTGTCTGAGTGATCTGAACCTGTACCGCTTTGGGGGGTTTGATCGGGTCTGGACGACCACACGTCTGGGGTTTGGGGTGCTTGACGTGAGGCTGGTCGAGCTGTGAGTTCTGCCGTTCCGGAGGTGGCTGCTGCGATGTCTTGCTCGCCGTTTACGTCGGCTAGGCCTCGGATTTTGAGGGTTTCTGCGACTTTTAGGAGTGGACCGATTTGTTCCTGGGACACGTTGATCTCGCCTTTGTACATGAATTCTACGGCGGCTTTGAGTTCCGGCCACTTGATGTCCCGCATGATGACGATGGGGTGCTGGCAGGGGTTGTCGAAGAAGAGCGCCTGGAAATAGGGGCTGCACGCGGACAGCACCATCTTGTGCGCCTTGACCGAGTGGCCGTCGCAGGCCAGCGTCACGTCCACGAACGACTCGCTCTGGAACAGCTGGTCGAACACGTTGGTCAGGTTGTTCTGGTAGTTGTTCCAGCGCAGGCAGAACTGCTGCGGCGATCCCGTAACGTGCTGCATCTCCCCTGACGACGAGCTCAACGGGTGAGTCCTCGGGTTACTCGTGATGGCGTTCGTAGCCTAAACAAAGAGTCACACAGATACAATTTAAGACAACAACAATAACACACTAAGGTTCTCCCATAGCGGCGACGATACGAGCGTGAAAGGCGAGTGGCGCGGCGCGCGATGCGTTTGGCGGCGCGTCCTGGGGCTGACTGAGAAGGCGAGCGGTGAAGGAGGAGGGCCGGCCGCCCTGGAGGCCGCCCCTGTCCCCTCCAGAGCGGCGGAGTCCGCCTTCTCCCCACCCATCCACCCACGAGGCCGCGTGGCGCGCAGTCCGTGGAGCGGCGAGATGCAACGTCGCCGATGCCGCCGCCGCTGCTTAGGTGTCGCCGGTGCGGTTGTTGGGGTGGGTTAAGGGTCGAAAGTTGCGAAGGGTTAAGAGGCAGAAGATTTTTGTGGTGTTAAGAAGAAAATGTATACAGAGTCATCTATAAAGTTTGTCAAAATTCAAAATTTCTTGGTGCCTCGCCCTTTTTACTAGATTATTTTCTTACTGTTTTCATAGTATTTAATAAATAATTAGTCAAAAGTTATAAGCTGTGGTCTAGCAGAATTGCCGAAATAATTTTGTAATTTTCTGTGTTGTTTAATCGTCACGAGCCCTACACTTTCTTCCTCTGTGAAACTTTTCGAAAATGGTTTGGTCTTGCTATAATCTTTAGTCATATAATCAACAACTTTGATTCCTCCCATTAGGAAACTGGAAAATTTATTTAGTCGAAGCAAGTTGCTATGATTTTTCAAATATTTTCATCAAGAAATCCTGAAAAAATCAGCTTGATGCCAAAAGATTTATTGAAAAAAAAGTCACCAAATCGGCGTGTTTGTCGTTAGCGCGAGTCGAAATGAAGTTGGTTTGTTTAGGATTTGTTGATTAAAGTATTTGAAAAACCATGGCAAATTTGTTCTATCAAGAGACCAAACCGTGACAAAAAAACAACACAGAAATTTAGAAAAGTATTTGAATAATTATTTCAATCATAATATGTGGACTAACCCTCTAATTAAATCAAAAAAAACATTTTATTACAAAATCATCTTTAACGTTCGTCGAAATGCAAAAGTTCATCAATTTCACATTCAATTCTTTATTTTTTTTTTCGCTAAAAGTTATCTTCATATATAAAACTTCTTTTTCAAATATTTTAATCAAGAAATCCTGAAAAAAATCAGCACAATATCAAAAGATTTATTGAAAAAAACAGTCACCAAATCGGCATGTTTGTCGATCGCGAGTCGAAATGGAGCTGATTTGTTCAGGATTTCTTGATTAAAGTATTTGAAAATAATGGGAATTTTGTCTAAAAAATGAGTAATAAGTTTTCTTATTTCCCAATCAGATGAATCAAAATCATGGATTACACGAGCATAGACGAAAGAAAGAGACCACACCGTTTTCTAAAATCTTCGCAGAGGAATACAGAAAATTGCATTCAATAATTCAACTCTTATGAGCTAGCCCCTAGCTTATTAAAATCATTTCCGACAACCAAACATTTCATCCTACTAGAAGTAAATACATATTATATACAAAATGAACTTCCAGTTTCATCCAAATCCAAAATTTAATCGATATTGTATTCAATTCTCTTTAATGTTTTCATTAAAAATTATCTTCATTTATGTAAAATTTTTACAGAAGAAATGATATCATTTTCACTATCATCATCAGCAGAAAATTCTTTAATTTTCAAGCTGTAATCATCTGGTGATGACGCCAACATAACTGGGAAGCATCTGTTCATTTGTAATAAAAAAAAAATAAAAAAATAATTTCGAATATTTGTTTTTTTTTTAACAAACCAAATGAGAAACTGTAGAACCTTCAAAAATATTTTTATTTGTCATTTTTATTTGACAAAAACAAATAAAACCAAATATAACACTATTATTATAATATCAAAAACATTTTAAAAAGTTTTCAACTCTTTTTGGAAAAAATACAGGAACTTTTTAAGCTAGACGTCTAGAACAGTTGCATTTAACAATGTCTCCGAATTTCAGTTTGACAATTATTCTAATGATTAACCTGGGTTATTGTTTTTATTTTTGTTGTTTACATTTACGTATGTCTCTGGTATTCGTATTCGATTCACCACGCCACGCGGCCACAGTCACACTTTACATCACACTTTACACACACACTATGGGCTTGTAACCTTGACACCTTCGAAGGGACAAGACAAGCTGCGATTCGAACAGACAATTAAAAACTGAGGAACAGGGGAATAGCTTATTCGGTATCGAAGAAGCGCGTATGAAGTATGATTAGTAAAGAGCGAAAATACTCTAAACTGGGAGATTTCACTCAAATTTTTATTGTGTTGAACTATAAAATGAGTTTTTAAGTGAATTTTTCTATTCCATTACTCAAAGATAGGGGTTACAACACGAACACGAGCTTATTCAATCGCTATTGATTAAATAGAGATCATATTTGAGTAAAATGATGAATTTACTCTATTTTAGATGAAAATGTACTCAATTATTTCACTCAAAAAATTCACTCCCTGACAAATATGTGTTCACTCAGGCTGATTTTTTACAGTGTAATTTTTCTAAGACCAATCTTAAATTTCCTCTCTCCTTTACAATACTTTTAATACCAATCAAAAATTTCACAATTAAATTAACCAATTCATCCTTTACAGTTTACCCAACACCCAAAATTATTATTCCAATTAACATTGTCGCATTTTTACGTCCGAAAATACTCAAAAAGCTCTCAAAATTATCCATAAAACCGTCCCACCCCTAATTAAAAGGGTTTTTCTCGATTAAATCAAACTCCGGCCGATCGAGCGCATAATTGGCCTTGGCCCTTCTCCCAAGATGACGTCAGAACAAAGTCGTCCAAGTACAGCGAGCCGATTTTCGCCTCAGCCCTCCAGGATGGCCCTTGTGCCTTCGGTATTTATTAATTTTAATTATTAATTAACCCCTTTGTGATTTCTCGTTCGTTAGTTTCTATTTCAATTAGCGATTTTTCTCGGGTTGTGTGGTTGGAGGGGATAAGATTGTTAAGGTTCGGTTATAGAGAAGATTTTAAAGCGCCTAAAGATATAAAAGAAACAACTGAATTTGGGAATATAATATACATATAAAGACTGTTCAACGTTGCGTCAAATATGAGTTTTACGGTGTGTCTGAGATCAGTTCATATTTAGAAAATTTTCAGACATGTACTTAATGATCCTTAGACTTTTGTGGTAGTAATCCAAGACTTGTTAATTTGGCCGCCTCTGCTATCTCTGGTGGTGTACAGGGCTCATTATCACTCTCATAATTCATTTTTTGATTTTAAACGAGTTCTTGATATGCCACTTAACAATCACTACCTACTTAACATTTGACAATTTTAAACGTCAAAATTAATAAAAAGAAAAGATAAGAAAAACGTCAAATCATCCACGCTGCGCATCGGGATGTTGTGAGATGGTTGTGAGTGTCACGTTGGCATAGCAACAAATGTAAAGTAAATGCAGAGTGTGATTTATGATAATTCACTGTTATCAGCTGTTATATGTCACTCTATTACAAATATGGGCACCATATTCCTTCAGCTAGGAAGTAGAATATTGATTTATTATTAAGTGGTCATGGACAAATTAATTAATTACTGAAAATAAAACGTAAAACTCTTTAAATAATGATAAATATATTAAAAGAAAAATTATAATAATAAAATAAATAGTTTTTCAAAAAAGCCTGTAATATGGCTGCGTTATGTTGATGATATTTTTGCAATATGGCAACATAACGTTTCTGAAATAGACATTTTTTTGGAATATATAAATTCTCGCGAACCTACCATAAAATTTACTTTAGAAGTAGAGAGAGGTAATCGTTTGCCATTTCTTGATGTTTTAGTGTCAAAATTTCAAAATAAACTAATTTTAGATGTTTACAGAAAACCCACAAACACAGATAGATACTTAAATTTCACATCTAATCACAGTATAAGTGTAAAAAAAAGGTGTTATAAAAAGTTTATATGATAGGGCAAAAATAATATGTACAGATGACATTTCACTAAACAAAGATATAAACCACATAAAAAATACATTAATAAAAAACGACTATCCACCATATTTTATTGACAAAACATTAAACGAAATACAAACCCCAAATCATAGACACAAAGATAACAATACACAATATATACAACTTACAATTCCATACATACGAGGCGTTTCGGAAAAAATAAGAAGGATAGGAAAACAATATAACATACAAACATCTTTCAAAACACAAAATACACTTAGATCAATTTTATGACATACTAAACCAATGAATACAGAACAACAAACAAAAAATGTAATATACCAAATACCCTGTGAATGCGATAAATTTTACATTGGTGAAACATCTAGACCCTTAAATATTAGAATTAAAGAACATAAAGATTATTTAAGAAAGGGAGATTTTCACAAATCTAAGATTTGTCAGCATTCATGGGACACAGGGCACAGAATACATTTTAATAACGCCAAAATTATAATGAAAGAAGCGATAGCCTCTAAAAGAAAAATAAAAGAGGCTTTTTTAATTCAATCTAATAAAAATAAATGTATTGCTCATGCATCTGTAGATGTTAGTAATGTATGGCAATCGCTTCTTTGATTTTAAAGAACATTACATAAATAAACATAACATACGTAAAATTTAAAAATAATCATACAGAAAGTTTGGGCTTTTTGGTTTTACCTTATTAAGTAATTATCAGGTAGTAATTGTTAATTTTGAAGTTTAACTTAATATAATGTCATTTTAACAGAACGTCAACGATTTCTTGTAGACGTATCTGTTTTAAAAAGTAAAGTGTTCTCGAATAGTTCAATTTAAATATTTTAAATAGTTTTTTTTTCTTGATTCTTTATATTTTTTTTGCTTCCGACGACGGAAAGAGAAAACTTTCCGAAACGTTAAGCATTTTTTTCTTTGTTAGGCAAATTTTTATTACTGTAAACACAACTTCTGACAAGCAGCGTCCGTTTAGGTTTAACGCAGAAGTG